GGTGGTGGACAGGCAAGTGTGGCCACAGGAGAAGACACAGGCAGAAGTGCAGGCAGAGCCAGTTCATCAGGCAGATGGTTCCCAACTGTGATGGTGACTTATGTATGATTTCTTTACAATGGTGCCGGGGCAAGGCTCAGCCATTGAGAATTCCGCTTCCAATTTTGGATTTTGGTCTTTTCATCATGCAGCACAGTTCTTTTTGGCAGTGCTGGGCTGCAGCAGGAAGAATGAGCTGCCAGGTAGCCCCCCATCACGGGCAGACACAACGACACCCCAGTGCTGTGAGGCGGAGCTCCAATGCCTGGGAGCTGAGGTGCATTCATTGCCTTTTCAGTTTAGGTTTTCAACGTATGAAGGGTTTGTTGAGTTGTCCAACAGCGTCTGCTCTGATAGGTCCTAGAGACTGGAGACATTCCACATTACAAAGGACCGCATGAGAAAGACACATGACACGTGGAGGCAGAAAGGAGGGGCAAGGGGAAGATTGATGCCAATACCACCACTGGGGTTCCCACGGGAAAGGCAAGGCGGACCTGGTGAATGGTTTAGGAGTGGCTCATTTAAATAACTTCCCAGGCTTTGGGCTAGAGTAATGGCGCCTAGTTCCCTGGTACCTGGCTCTGGGATGACTCAGGTAGAGGAACACTGGCTCCTCCAGTACAGAGACCAGACAGAGGCGTGCCATCATGGATTGTGAGTTTGCATATGGAATGCATTGCGTTGGCTTTCTGTTGCTGTGACAAAACACCTGAGGAACAATTTAAAAGAAAAAACGTTTTGTTTTGTTCGCCTCATGGGTTCACAGTTTCCTCTCCACAGTCACTTGGCTTCACTGGTTTTATGCCTAGGGTGAGACAGTACCTTATGGCTGAAGTGTGTGGTAGAGGAAGTTACCTTAACGTGACCAGGAAGCAAAGAGGGAAATAGGAAGGAACTGGGGCTCCTATGTCCCTTTCAAGGACACACTGCCAATAACCTAACTTCCTCCCACTAGACCCTGGAACCAAAAGGTTGCACCACCTCCCAGTAGCTCCTCAGACTGGAATCCAGCCTCTGGGGACCCTCTGGATCTAACCTACACAGGCATGCTCCTGGCCGAGTCTCTGTCTAGCCCTGGGCAGGCTGGTCTCCCTGCAGCCAGCAAGGCTTCTGGAAGTGTCAAACCAGCATAATATACAGACGATGTGAAAACCCTTACAGTAGTGTGTGTGTGTGTGTGTGTGTGTGTGTGTGTGAGAGAGAGAGAGAGAGAGAGAGAGAGAGAGAGAGAGAGAGAGGGAGAGAGAGAGAGAGAGGGAGGGAGAGAGAGAGAGAGAGGGAGGGAGAGAGAGTATGTATGTGTGTGTTGGGTTTAGTTTGTCGCGTGTTAATCTTCTGGGATTTGTTTTAATTTAGAGTGTGAAATAGGGAAAACATTTTTTGCTAAATGGTCTAGCCGATTGTCCTGAACTCCATTATGGAGCAGTTCACCCTTTTTGCTGATTTGAAATGCCACCTTTCTTTCGTACTACATTAATTGGCTTCGAGACTCTCCTCCATTCTCTTGATCTATTGGCCCGTTACTGGATCAATAACAAAAATTACTCCCACAATTACCACTGCCTTATAATTCATTTTGACATTGACAAAATCTCAGGGGTTTCCCCCCAAAATTTGTCAAATATTATTAAATATTTTCTCTCTCCCAAATTAATTTTAGAATCAGTTTTAAAATTCCATGAAAAAGTGATATTGGATTTTCATCAAGAATCATACATGATTTATAAATTCATACTTAATTGTACCTTTAACAAGACTGAACCTTGTTTAAGACAATAAGCACCCTTGCATTTATTCAAGAATAAACGAATATTCAGTTCTTCAGTAAATTTTTTAGTTTTCTTCTTTAATGTGGTGCATATTTATTATCCCATTTAGTTCTTGTTATTTTATAGCATTTAAAGCATTGAAAACAAGGAGAGTTTCCAAGTTTATTTCTCATTTATTTTATGTGTTGAATTGGTTAAAAATCATTTATGTTTGTATTATTCTGCTTAGAGCACCATAACAAAATACCACAGACTGAGATTTCTTTTTTAAAATTTTTTTATTTGTTCGTTTTAGTTATACATGACAGTAGAGTATATTTTGATATATACACATGGCATATAACATCCCATTTTTGAAGTTATATTGGTCATGTATTCAGATATGAACATAGCAAAGATATATCTGATTCATTCTACTGTCTTTCCTATTCCCATTCCCCTCTCTCCTTCCACCTTCCCCCATCCATTCCTGTGAACCTCTACTCCCCTCCCCCTATTGTGGGTTAGCATCCTCTTATCAAAGGCTTATTTCACTTAGCATGATGGTCTCCAGTTCCATCCATTTACTGGCAAATGCCATCATTTCATTCTTCTTTATGGCTGAGTACTATTCCATTGTGTATATGTACCACATTTTCTTTATCCATTCATCTGTTGAAGGGCACCTAGGTTGGTTCCATAGTTTAGCTATTGTAAGTTAAGCTGCTATAAACATTGATGTGGCTCCATCACTGTAATATGCTGATTTTAAGTCCTTTGGGTATAAACTGAGGAGTGGGACAGCTGGGTCAAAGGGTGGTTCCATTCCAGTTTTTCTAAGGAATCTCCATACTGCTTTCCAGAGTGGTTGCACCAATTTGCAGTCCTGCCAGCAATGTACGCGTGTATCTTTTTCCCCACATCCCCGCCAACATTTATAGTTTCTTGTAATTCTTGATAATTGTCATTCTGACTAGAGTGAGATGGAATCTCAGTGTAGTTTTAGTTTTCATTCTGAGATTTATTTTCTCACGGCAGAAATTTATTTTCTACTTCTCTGGAGGCTGCAGGTCTATGGTCAAAGAGCCAGAGGGTTGGTTTCCGGCAAGGTCTCTCTTCTTGGCTTGCAGACAGAATCCTTCCTCACTGTGTCCTCTGGATCCTTTCCTCTGTGCACAAGCCAGGAGAGAGACAGAGCTCTGGGGTCTCTTACTGTTCTTAGAAGGCCCCCAGTCCTCTTTAGTTAGAGTCTACTCTTAAGACCTCATTTAACCTCAGTTGCCTCTTTGAAAGCCCTGTCTTTAAATACAGTCACATTAGAGTGTAGGACTTTAACCTACAGATTCTCTGGGGACACAGCATGGTCCTACCGATGTTTTTGAATAGTAAGAATGCAGATTTTTTCCTTATATTTTTCCTCTTCTGAATTAACATTAAAAATAAAACTTTTATTTTTGTCCTGAATAGCCAAGAAATAATGTGGACAAAATGTAAAGGAAGCCGAAGTTTGATACAAATTGAAGTTGTCACAGATATTTTATTTGAAAAAAAAAAATGTGTGTTTGTATATACAACAGCAGTTAGTGGTGGACCTAGACCAGATGTTCAAGAAGAACTTGATTAATAACCTACTAGAACTACCACAATAACTTTGCCGTTATGTGTGTCATCTAAAATGTCTGAAGTAATTGTGTTTGGTATCACATAGGTAAGTGATTTACGTTCCAAAAGCAGTCATTCATGTTTTCTTTGGATTCAGTAAAGATCTGCTGGTAGGCGGTGGGTATATTTTAATACAAACGGCAAAATCTCTGGCCTAGGACATAAAGAACTTGGTTGGTTCTCCTTGAAGCTAAGTGCTGAAAACTGTAACAAATAGACATCGCTATTTCTTGGTAACTCAAGGAAGTAGGCAAACTATCATGGCTGTAAAATAATTCAAATTTCCCTCTGTGTTATGAATTGAATTTTTTTCAGAAATATCACATTTTAAATCACAAAGAAATAATCTCTTCTGAGCAACTGTCACCTGAAATTATTTTTTAAAAGTTCATTGATTTAAAAAAAAATTATAAAACATGACTTAGGTAAAGTAAACTAACTTAAAAATGACCAAAAAAAAAAAGTTTTAAAAAGTGTGTGTGTGTGCACATGCATACAAACACACATAATATTAACGTGTTTGAGGCTTTCAACAGTTTTTACTTACCCCCTAGTCTCAAAATGGGCAAAAATTAGAGGTGGGCCTACCTGGGGGTGGGGTACTATCTCATGTGTGCTATATATATGTTACTATTTTTGCAAGATATAGAAGAGTTCATTTTCCTTCCTTCTGTCCTATATCTAACCCTAAGGAAACTTAAAACAACACAAAATTTTTTAACTAAAATCTTTACAGATGTGACTGGGCCCAGGCATCTCTGAGTTCAAATTCCTGCTCTTCTCCTTGAGAGCTGAATTCCTTAATCTCTCCTAGCCTCCGTTTCTTCAGTCCTCAAATGAGGACAACAACCCTTTTATTATGCATTTTCTACGAGAACTGCATGGAGCAATCCATGTGAAATGCTTAAAACAGATCCCAATATGGAGGAACTCAGCGGACGGGGTAATTTTATTTTTATTATTATGAAATAACAACATCACCAGGCTTTCTTGAATACCGGCGATTATAAATATTTAACTTGTTCGTAGAAACCAATAGGGGGAAAAACCTTAAAGAGGCAAATTTCTAACTGTGATTGAAAGGACAACAGAACTCTAACTGAACTTTTGGCTTCTTAAAATATGACATCCAAGACTCCAAATGTCGTCGTCCTCCTTGGGTGCACCAAAGGATACAAAATACCCTTTGTTAGTGGTGGAAAATCAACTCCTTCCTAGGAAGTAAGATTTCAGCACGCCCGAGCTTGTAGATTTATGTCCATTTCTTTGATTAAAAAAAAAAAATAGAGAAAATGCACTTCCTTCAGAAGTGCTCCTGAGGCCATTATAGCCTAACAATTATGACTCTCCACTTTTTATTTTTATTGCTGGTTGGAAAAGATGACGCTCTACAATGCTTACACCAGGAGGATATTATTCTACAAATAAGGGCCCAGCGTGACATCTATGAGGAAGTCAGGGTCCTCCTGCGTCAAAGCTGATCGGTGCTCAGCCAATGGGCTCCAGGATATTGCCAGTAAAGGCACCTACTGACTGGGCTGGGCAGACACGGGGCGGGGGTGGCCTGCGCCTGGGGAACTTGGAGAAATGCTGGCCCCTTGTCCTAGCAACACAGGTCTGTGGCCAGCAGAGCGAAGCCAGGCGGTCAAGATGCCTCGTCTTCTTCCCCAGTTCCTTCCTGTCTTGGCTGTCTACTGCTTCTGCATGCTGCAGATCCCTGCCTCAGGTAAGGGGACCACCGTCGGCCTCACCGGGCCTCTCAGCCACACTGAGACTGACCTGGACCCTCAGGGCACTTCAGGAGGGGGTCAAGTTTCACTCCTCCACCTACTACCCCTCTTCCTGCCCTCCTGCTTTCTGGCGATCCTTGGTACGGTCCTTGGCTCGGCTTATTTCTGACCCTTTAAGGGAGAGTGGACAAGGGGAGATGCCGCCGCCTGTCACCGAAGGAGCGGGACTGTGCGTCCACAGCTCCTACCCCAGAGGGGTCCTGCTGAGATTGGAGTGTGAGGGGTGAGGCCTGGCCCTATATGGGTTGGGGAAGACCCGGCTTAGCGCTTTGTGGTCCTGGAATTCTTAAGACACAAGAACCGAGGAGGTGACCCTGAGTTTGAGTCCCAAAGACTGGGAATGGTCCGGCGGCTGGAGAGGGGTCGGGGAAGAGGGCGCACAGGAGCGGGGGAAAAAAGGAATCTTTTCAAAGCCTTTCCCGGGGCAGGTCCCCCGAGCCGACCCATTGCAGAGCTGAAGCCCGGGCCCAGCGTCTGTCTGGCGCGGGTCGCTGTCCGAGGTGCTGGCCCCGCGCGGGCGCCTCTCACCAACTTGAACTGAGAGCAGTTTGCCTCGGCGTTTGTCCTCCTTTTAAAGAGTGCATCCTGGTGGCACACCATAGTGGGTTCGTTGATGCGGATTCGATCCCGTACTTGCATGATTTGGTCAGTTTCATGGCCCATACCTCCCCTTCCTCCTCCCTTCCCTGGCCCACGTCTACTGTTCTCTCTTCCGTTTTCATGAAATCGACCCCCCCCTGACTTCATGAAACCCCACCCTGCGCCTCTCTAGCTTCCACAAGCCAGAGGATATACGATCCTCGGCTTTCTGAGGCTGCCTTATTTGGCTTAACCTAATGCTCTCTAATTCTATCCATTTTTTTCCAGCAAATGCCATAGTTGCATTCTTCTTCAGGGTTGAATAAAACTCCATCGGGTGTAGATACCACATTTCCTTGAGCCGTTGATGGACGCCTAGCGTGGTCCCATAACGTGGCTATTGTGAACGGTGCTGCTATAAAGACATGTCCCTGTAGCATGCTGGCTTTAATTCTCTTGGACAAATACTGAGGACAGGTATATGGCGAGAACCAGTGCATTTGTAGGGAACCAGCGGAGGGGTCAGGGTTTGTATCCCTAATGCATTATCAGCATCTCCAAGTAATTTTCCATAGGATGCAGGGAAGTGTGTTGTGGCAGAAAATCTATGGTAGGAAACATGGACGATGGCAAAATTTTAGATTTTTTTTCCCATTCAAATTTTGATTTAGAGGAGTAGAAAATACTTACAAATCTATTCAAAGAGAAAACATATTCCAAACAGCAGTGTGCTTGTTTTTCCATGCCCCATTTTTTAATCACAAAACGTGGGCATTGCAAGGAACCATGGAGATCATCAGATCTGACATCACCCAGAGTGTAGGTTTCCACTCTGCAGTTCCCCTGCAAAGGTCTTTTAGATTCTATTTGATTTCTTTCAGTGACCTCCAACTCACTGCCATCCTAAGACAGCCAGCTGCTGTGTCTTCTGTGCTGCAGTAGAATCCTGTTTATATTACCCTGTTGAAAATCCCTTGGAAATTTGTGATCACCTTTTTTGTTTTTTGTTTTTTGTACCAGGTCTGAACTCAGGGGCACTCCACCAATGAACCACATCCCCAGTCCTATTTTGTATTTTATTTGGAGACAGGATCTCACCAAGTTGCTTAGTGCCTCACTTTTGCTAAGGCTGGCTTTGAACTTGTGATCCTCCTGCCTCAGCCTCCTGAGCTGCTGGTATTACAGGTGTGTGCAGGCAGGTGCCACTGTCCCTGGCGATCTTTATCTTCTCATTAATACAAACCAATCTCAATAAATTCTTACAATATCGGTTTCCATCACTTTGCATTGTTGAATCATTGCCATCATTAAAAATTTCTTTACATTGAGCTGAAATGTGATCACATGTAACTTCTAATCTTGAGCTCTATTTTTGTTCTTTGGTAATATATAAAATAAGTCTATGATTTCCTACTTATGGCAGTTCTCAAAATAGTTGAAGGCAGCTAATATACACATCTTAATTTTTCTCTTTCCAGAGAAATTTATAATTAGTTACTTTACTTAAACTCTACCTTATAGTCTCTCATTTCAAGCCAGACTATTACTTTTCAAGGCTTAAACACTATTATTTAAATATAACATAAGATGGCCTTCGATTTCTCTTGACTAATAGATTGCAGGAAGCAAAATACCATATAGTCTTTTTATAAAAAAATGCAAACTGCTCTTGGGAGTAAATTCCCTGTCCCACATTTTAGAAAAATCCAAACTTGAGGTTTGATATGTAGCCATTGAATTTCACCTGGTTGGTTTTGACCTGCCCGGTTGATTCTTTCCACTGCAGTATTAGTTTTAACTCCGCGTTTCCTATCACATGCAAATAGGAAGACATTTTCATTTAAGTCAGTAAAAGTCGGATGGAGTCCAGCTGCATGCTGGCCCCAACTTTTCCCAGAACCCCACCCCTGGAGGACTTGACCAGGAAGAGACAGGTGTCTGACCTCTCAAAAGTTCCAGGTGAGTCTGAGGTACAGACCCTGCTGACACCATTTTCTGATAGTCTAACTTTATAAGTTTCATCAAAAGATAAACCAGATCGCCAGGCACCTATAATCCCAGCGGCTCAGAGGCTGAGACAGGAGGACTGGGAGTTCAAAGCCAGCCTTAGTGAAAGCAAGGTGCTAAGCAACTCAGTGAGACCCTGTCTCTAAATAAATACAAAATAAGGCTGGAGATGTGGCTCAGTGGCTGAGTGTCCCTGAGTTCAATCTCTGGTACCTCGCCAAGATAAACAGGTCCCCCCTTTCTGATTTGCTAATCTATACTGGGAACTCCTAAAAATTAAAAGCCAAGCTGTTTTAAATTAACATCGTGACAAATCTCAGGTGGCTAGTGGTAAGTAGACCTGTGTTTTCTTGAAAATCCTCTTAACAACATTGTATCACATCTTACCTTCCCATTGACCCCATTGTATGGTTCTTTGAGGGTTTACTGTTTCAATAAAATCTCGGTTTGTTTTTCATGGCAAAGGCATAAAAATAAGTGCTGTGACCTCTTTTCTCTAATTGATGTTTTTATGATTTCTCATCCTAGGAGTTTCTCAACCTTCAGTGGAGCCTCCAGATGGTTTGAACACTGTGCAGCTTGAGGTACGCTATTGTTAGTACGGTGAGATTTTTATGTAGTCTGGGTCTCGAAAATATCATGTGGATCATGTTCACTTAAATTCATTTTAAGGTCAGATTTTGTGTTGCAGCAAGAACTCACTGCTGCTGTTTCCATGGTCCCATTTAAGGCATGCGGACGGTTGGGTTGAAATCTGCTGCCATTGTAGAAGAAAATCATCCTGTGTTCATAAGTGGAATTTTAGAATTTTAAATATGTTCTAATAGAATTTTATTGACCAAGAAATTCATTCTTTGATTTGTTTCCCTCATTTTGCTCTAGAGGCTGGTATATTGTCTGAATCAGCGGGCAGCTCTCTTTAACCAACCTAAGGTTAAAAAAAAAAAAAAGCTAATATAAGCTTGATAGTGAGAGTTCTTAAAAAGTGCATGATCTTACATTGATCTTACATGACAATTTATATCTTCAATAAATACCTTATTTTGCTACCTTCAGGAGAATGCTGTGTGTGTGTTTAGGTGTGTATGTTTGTGTGTGTAAGGATATGGTTTTAGGAAATATCAAATTTTTCTCTTCAATATAAACTACCATAAAATTATTTAAAATATATAAACCATATCCTTACACAAACATACACACCTAAATTATTAGTAATTCATGTGCAATCTTACAATTATCATAACCACATCTAATAAAATTAATCACATATCATGATTCATTATAAATTGGATCTAATAGTAACTCCAAATAATACATCTTATGTAAAGGATCTAATAGTAACTCCAATAAAAATAGATCAATGGATAAAAAGTAAATGTTGATTTAATCAAAAGTTCAAAAGGGAAATTGTGAGTCTCAGCCTGGTTCATCTTTCCTCACCTGGAGCCGCATCTCTGGCTTCCTCACCGCCCACCTCCAACACACCATGCTCCAGCCACAGCCAGCGTCTCACGAGTCCTCGGGTTCACCAGACCCTCAATGTCTTTGCACAGTGTTTCCCTTCACCAGGGATGCCTTTGTCTCCTTCACAGCTGCAGTTAGGAGCCCAGACTCTAAAACCAACTACCTGGGCTTGACGCCTAGCTCTGTTCAAACTTGGGGTTTTCTTAACCATTCTGTGCCTCAGTTTCCTCATCTGTAATATGGACATAATGGTTGCACCGGCACCGTGTTGTGCGGGTCAGTTGCTCTAACGTATGTGAAGTGCTTTCAACAGTGACCGGAACATGAAACACGGTAACTTACCATTAAGTGGTTACCATTGTCTTTTTTTAAGTTGTTTTGTGATATTGGGATTGGACTCAGGAGAACTCTACAACTGAGCTACACCCTGTCCCCCCTGCCCCTTTTTTTTTGGTACCAGGGATGAACCCAGGGGTGCTTAACCACTGAGCAACATCCCCAGCCCCTTTTAATTTTTTTTTTTAAATTTAGAGATAGGCTCTGGCTAAATTGCTTAAGGCCTTGTGAAATTGGTGAGGCTGACTTTGAACCTCCGGTCTAGGCCACCCAAGCCACTGGGATTACAGGCGTGTCCCGCCACACCTGGCCCTTTGTATTTTTTAATTTTGAGACAAGGTATCACTCATTTGTCCTCAGAATTGCAATCCCCCCACCTTGGCTTCCAGAGTTGCTGGGATCACAGGCACATGCCACAGTGCCTGGCAGCACCGTGGCCTCTTGATGCAAGTGATTCTCGTTCTTCAAGACTCAACTATCACTTACTCGTCCAACTCCACGAATGATCCCGCCTGTTTCTTCTTGGTTCCAGGTTGTCATTAGCAATACGTGGAGACGGTTGTCGTGACCGTCCTTGTAGCCTTGGTTCCTGGAGCCAAAATCCAAGGAGAGAACTCGGAGTTCTCCATGTCCTTGATTCTTCCTTCCATCACTTAGTAAGGGGGCTCCTTATCCCACACACAAGGCCGTGAGGGTCTTCCCTGCCAAAGCAGAGGCTGTGGGGTTGCGCTACCCACAGCATTAAACTGGGTGGTGGGGTCCCTAAGTGCAAGGCCCCCTTGGAATGACTTTCCTTCTAGCATCTCCATTTGTCTGCCGTTGATCCCACTCGTTGTTTCCGATTACAGAGCGCAAACAAACAAACCAAAGTGCCAATCTTTCCAAGCTATGGAGAGATGGTGGCTCTTCCTGGGCTTGCTGCTGCCCCAAGATGTGATCTTCAGCCTTTCACTTCCCTTCCTGGAGCTTGGCTCCCTCAGCTGCCCAAGGGCCACCCGAGTCACCTGGGCTCTGTGTCCTCTGTGCCCGGGCCTGTTCTGTTTTCCAAAAGAAGCCAGGTCTGTGATGCCAGGGAACTTTTATCTTGAGGCGATTCAGAGAGCAGTTACGACATTCTACAAGTAAGGCCACCTACAGACGCTCTTCATGTCTTATGTCGCCACATGGGATTAGATGTTAAGTGGGTAAAAGGGCAAAAGGTAGTTGTGAGCTGAATCCTGCTATTCAGTCAAAAAAGCTATTTATTGAGAGCATGTCACGTGCCAGGGGCCAGGGATACATAGTGACCCAAACAAACCAAACCACCTGCTCTCTTGAAGTGTGGATTTTAGTTGGGGAAAATGAATGAAAAGATAGGTGAGTAAAATCTTATACATGATTTTTTTTCTTGGAAAAATAAATAATGAAAGGAAGGTACATAGGAAATGTGGGAAGGGATGATTAGAATCAGGAAAACCATTTCATCTTCCTCATTTTTAGCTTGAAAAACAAAAGTAATTGAGTAAAGCTGATGAATATGGAACAAATAAAAATTATTTGTGCACACATGCACATGCATACATGCACACTACTGTGAACAGATACCAACAGGAAGACCAGAAGTGCTGGGCACTTTGGCACACACCTGTAATCCCAATGGCCTGGGAGGCAGAGGCAGGAGAATCACGAGTTCAAAGCCAGCCTCAGCAACAGCAAGGTGCCAAGCAACTCAGTGAGATCCTGTCTCTAAATAAAATACAAGATAGGGCTGGGGATGTGGCTCAGTGGTCGAATGCCCCTGAGTTCAATCCCTGATACCCCAAACAAACAAACAAACAAAGACCAGAAGCAATAAACAATAAATACTTAAGAAATGGTGGTTATAAGGAAGTAGTGAATTTGCACAGAGCCTCTGCTATTAATAATGCTGGTTAGTTCTATTGGATGTCCGTGCATGTACACCCACTAAGCTCGTGTGCAAGCGTGTACACATACGTGCATGGCTAAGGGAGGGAGAGAATGCATTGCTACTGTCAGCTTGCACCAAAGAATCTCTCCACAAAGTTTGCAGACAGATGTAACTGCACTCACAGAAATAAAATTAGAAGTGTTGTTAACAACTCTAGCTTCTGTCTTGATTGAGGCTTGAGCCGATTCAAGAATGTTTGTGGATAACTCGAATGATGGACACTTTCTGGATCAGTGTATTTAAAGATCGTTCCCAGTAGTGATGTCACAGTAGTCCTCTTCGGCAATTTCATAAAGTATGGATGTGAAAACAGACACCCACGTTTTGCAGACGCCTTCACAGCACACCAGTGAGTCAGATATGCCACGTAGATGCCTGCTAACCTCGTCGAGGAGGGCAGGGTGAGGCACTAACAAGGAGTTAAAGATGAAGAGTTGAGCTTTCTGCAAGAAGAGTGAAAATTCATGCAGAAAACTTTTGGAAAACAACAAAAATAGTTGGTTAGTTTAAACCCAACCTAAAAAATTGATTACTAGGATACAACCAGCAGCCTTTACAAAGGCTGCAGATGTGAATTGCTTTCACTGCATAGTCAAGTAATCATCTGGGACTCAATTAGAGTCTTTCTTTCATGCATTAGAGAGTAGGTTTTTCCCCTTGAAAGACTGCAAAGGGATCTTGTTTTAAAATGATGATGTATTGCTGGCAACTTTCTTTATTGTAAGATCCTGCACCAACTGTAGTCTTATTAAATTTGTGTAATGGAGGAATTACTTTTTAGATTGCACTATATTTCATAATGCATGAGTAAATTCATTAAGGTGTATGGGAAAACCCGTCAGTCAAAATCCCTCTCAATTCTCTTTCTAGGATAATCAAGACATATTCAAAAGGGTGAGTAACCTCCGCCCCAGTGACAAGGGTGTGCAGCTGCCACATTTGAGCAAGTGACCCTTGATACTGATATAACTTTTCTTTTCTTATTTAGTTTTTGTTTCACTACTCCAGAACTCAGGAGCCGACATATCCAGTTAAAACCGGGGTCAGTGTTTCAATCATAATCTTCTTCTGTAAAAGTGACTTCTCCACATGCCTTTTTTTGTATTTTCTGGATTAATATATTTGTGCAGACAAATAGAAAAGCAGGGAACCTCTAGATGCCTTGTAATTAGTGTCTTCCGAGGTGCTCCCCAAGGCTGTAGGGATTGTCTCCGTCCTCCGTGGGAGGGGGATGGTGGGTAGCAGACAGATCTGGAAAGTTAGGCACTATACTACAGAAAAGGAAAAGTAAGAAACAAGTTGTTTTTTTTTTTTTTTTGTCATGCACATAAAAAGATGTGCAAGAAGAACTTGGTAAGTCCTGTGCTCTGTTTTTATTATTCTAAATTATTTTCTATTTTTAAATTTTGAAAAGTGCTGTGTGGTGTGTAAAGTACGCTTCCTCCAGCAGTGACTCAGGGTGGTGCATCTTGCCGACTGTCAGGGTGTGCATGTGTCATGGGTGGAAGAACCATCAACCACCAACTCTTTCTTTTTCTAAATTTGAGTCAACCCCCGGAGAAGCTCTAGTAGGTGAATTTCTGTGAGCTATGATTTGAGACATACTGGGAAGATCATACACTATAACTTTTAGTTTGGATGCCCTGTTACTGGAAATTCCAAAAAGTCACTTATTTATATATTGAAGCCTTTCCAATCTGCAAGAAGACAGTTTAAAAGGAAAATACGCAGCAAAATGTTCTTTCCTTAAGAGGCAAAGACTCATCAGTATTATAGTTCTAGCAAGTGGGAGTCAGGTAAGGAAGGAGATGTTATCAACAAAGGCCATCGCACCAAGGAGGGAGACGGAAAAATGGAAGGGGAAAGAGAAGCGAGATTTGTAACAATGTTCATTTAAAACAGCCTGGCTTTTAATTTACCAGTAAATCAGGAAAGGGAGAACCTGGTTTATGTTTGGTGGGGAGGGAACCAGGGATAGAACTCAAGGGCACTTGTCCACTGAGCCACATCCCAGCCCTATTTTGTATTTTCTTTAGAGACAGGGTCTCACTGAGTTGCTTAGTGCCTCGCTTTTGCTGAGGCTGGCTTTGAACTCACAGTCCTCCTGCCTCAGCCTCCCTAGCCACTGGGATTACAGGCATGCTCCACGGTGCCCAGAGAAGAGTAACGTTGACTCTAAACCAAAACACCTAGGGAGGATTAATGAGGACTAGATAAGGTCAGGTGCATTCGCTTGGCATGAGGGAGCAGACACAGACAAGAAGTCTAGGAAAATAAGGATGTCCTCCCCCTCCTCCGTGGAACAGGAGAGCCCATCTGGGGAGCAGGAATCTGCCAGGAGCTGCTTCTTTAAGACAACACACTTCATTCCAGTAGCGCAGAGTGCCAGGGTGGATGCAAAGCCTCATTGACCCTCTGGGAATATTCATGACATGTTGGAAGGGAACCCAGCTATCAAAGCAAGCGGTAGGTCTTTATTGAGAACATAAAACATCTGAGGCTTGGCTCTGAAATGGATTTTACTCTGAAAATTAAACCCATTTGTAAGGGAGGTGAGTTAAAAGGAACGCACACAGCCCTAGGCCCTGCAAGTCCCCCTGGGGCTCCCTCACAGCCTCCTGCCTGAACCTCTGTCCCTCTGTCCCTCTGTTGCAGCTGCCTGCTGTGCACCCGCTAATGCGCCTGGCCTCCAAGCTCGCCAGCGGAAAGATGAAGAGATTTCCGCAGCCAGTATGTTCTGAGTTTCTTCTACCATTGTTTTGTGCTGTACAAGTTCATTCAATACCTCGAGAAATGTGGGCCATTGTACTGGGGCTCATTTTTATTCTCTCCTTGAATCTCAGGCTCCTCTGTTGGGGGCATGGGGGAGCTGGGCAGGAGTGTGGCTCCCTTGACCTTGGCCTTCCTTTCTTTTGTAAGAGTAAAATAAATTGAAGTTAAAGTGTATTGTAAAGTTTCTAAGCTGCAAAGCCTGAGTTAAAATGTAAAGGACCAGGTATTGTTAAGTTCCTATGCTACACCCAAAACCTGAAATTCCTGTAGCTGTTAGGACAATTCCCGGGACTGCTCAGTAGATATTTTCCCTGACCATTTAGTTGTTTAATAACCTAGGACCCTGTGCAGCTTGGCACGTAAGCATTCAGGGCCCAAACCAATCAGTTTAAATGTATCCCCTCCTTAGGATTGACCTATCACTCCCGCCGGACCTGTTTCCGCCAATGACTGTACTAATCATGTTCAGGAATTGTTGTTTGATTTTCTCTTGGTGTATGATGATTTGTTAAAGGGGATGTGACCTATGTAAAGTTCCTGCCCTCCCCAAAAAGTGTACTTAAGCACTGCTCAACCCCTGCTCGGGTCTCTGGGCCACTCTCCCTTGTTGAGTGAGCACAGAGCCCCAGCGCGCTGGGTTCTCAATAAACCCCCTTCTGCGGTTGCATGAGTTGGTCTCTTGGTGGTCTCTTCCTCTGACGTTCTCCGGACCCTTACACTTTAACCCCATGAGATATCTCAAAAGGCCACAAGGACGGGCCCCACGGCCAGCCTGCTCCAGTTCCCTCCTCTCTTCCTCCAGAAGTTGTGCTTTGGCTGTGTGCTGCTTTTCACTTCTGTCCTCCCTCCCAACGTGAAATTGGCCTTGGTAACTCCCATTGCCCCAGCTGCTCTTTTGTCCACGTCTTAGAGTTATTTTTGCAAGTTTAGAAATGATCAGTTCTAGCCTGTTCAAATGATGAATCAAGGTTTTGCTGCATGGTAGGAAAAATTAATTAAAATTTCTTTTGGATACCCTGAGTCCAGGTAGGGTCCACCAGCTCACTTTAGTTTACCCAGAACTTTCCTGGTTTTACCTTAAAAGTCCCAAGATTTCCCCTTCTCCCAGGAAACTGCTTAGTTCTTAAAAACATGGTTGTTCTTTTCTTCTTTTCTTTTCTTTTCTTTTCCGTCAGAACTGGGAATGGACCCAAGGGTGATCTATCCCTGAGCTACATCCACACTCTTTCTTATTTATTTATTTATACCAGGGAGATTGAACCCAGGGGTGCTTAATCACTGAGCCATATCCCCAAACCGTTTTTCTTTTTAATTTGTATTTTGAGACAATCGCTGAGGCTGACTTTGAATGCATTATCCTCCTGCCTCAGCCACCCCGAGTTGCTGGGATGACAGGCATGTGCCAATCATGCTGGGCTTATCCTAGTTGTTCATCTTAAGCACAGGAACAGTTGATCTCTTCCCCTGCTGACCACATGCAAGCTCTAAGGTCTTCTCTGTCTCAGCCCTTGCATCAGGCTCGTAAGCAAAGAGCAAGCTGAAGATGCTAAAATGGCTTGTCATTGAAAATCTGTCTAAACTTGGCAGGGTGCCCTGGTGCACTCCAGTAATCCCAGTGTCCTCGGAGGCTGAGACCACGTGGGAAGATTGCAAATTTGAGGCCAGCCTCAGCAACTTAAGGAGAGCCTGTCCCCAAAATAAAAAGAGCTGGGGATGTAGCTCGGTGGCAAAGAGTCCCTGGGTGCAATCTCTAGTGCCATAAAACATTTTTTGTTTTTGGTCTAAACCCAGGAATCCATTTCATATTTGGAATTTTTAGGAGGTGCAAGAAAATTAAATACACCTGGACAGAAAAAGTAACTCAAGTCAAGTAAACAAGCTTGGCTTCTGAGCAGGAACTTGCGTGTGGCCACAAGGTTAGCCATTCCCTCCAGTTGCTTTTTTGCACCTGTCTTCCAACTACCTTGGAATGAGGCCGGGAGGAGCAGGCTCACAGCCAGATAGCTGCAGGTCATGGACGAGGTTCCTGGGGAATTAACTAATGTCTCCTTTCCTTGCAGGATCTGGGGGCTGCCTCCGTGGACTTTACCAAGAAGGTATGTGAGCTCTAGAGACAACACAACACCCCAAAGACTCCAGAGAGAGGGACAGGGAAATGCTTAGAGCCAAAAGCCCTTCTAGAACCTTCTGGGAAGAACCATCTCATGATAGTTACCCTGAACATGTTCCCTGGGCACTGATATTGGGGTTTCCTTGGGTCCGACCTGGGGCAGAAAGGAATCCCAGGGAGATAGGGGAAATGCCTCTGGCTTTGATTATTGATTATTTCGTCTCCAATCCTGCAAAGAGTCACATGGGGCCAGCTGACCTTGAAGATCCGCTCTCTGACTCATCGACCCATGTGACATTGTGCACACTTGGGGAGAGGTAGTCAGTGGCACCAACTCCACACACCAGTGATTTCAACCTTGACCTTGCACCAGATTCACCTGGTTGAAATATAGATGGCTGGGCCCCACCCCACAGAGTCAGTAGGTCTGGAGTTGGGTCTGAGGATTTGCCTTTCTAGTGAATTTCCAGGTGTCACTATGCTGTTGGTCTGGGACCATTCTTTTAGGAAAGGGTCTCCATAAACGTATTTGAAGGACCTTTGATGCAATGTGGCTGCATAACAGTTTATGTTTTGTGTTGCAGGATCCCATTGCCACCTTGGGACGGCCATTTTTCCTTTTCAGGGTATAAGAGACTTTCTCGTTTCTGTCTTCTAACCCCCCTCCACTGTCGCCATCCCTCTTTGGGTGTTACACCCAGGCAGGCATGGCCTTGATCCTGTGGTGAGCTGGTGTCTAGTTGTGGGAACTCTCTTTTCTGAATTTAGGTATTGCCCACGTCCTGTGTGCATGAGGGAAAGGGCTTCCCTTGGGTGGGTTGGGCTGGCTGAGCCATAACAGCGGAGGAAAGTAGCCCAACGAAGTAACCACAGAACACAGAAAGTCGTTTCAAAGAGGGGGCATCGACAGGCAAAGCTGACCAGACAGGTCCAGCTTCTAAGAAAGAAAGGGGTCTGTTTTTGCTCTATTGATATCAGAACACACCAAAGGCTTTCTACAGAAAGTTCTTCACCAGAACAAGACACAGGCAGGGGCAGGCAGGCTGTTCCGTTCCTAGCAGGTCATGGCCATCTCCAGTGCCGCATGAGACCTCGAAGCAGAACCGAGAGGAAGTTCGCTTGCATTTGGGTGGTCTATCCCGGCGGGACTGCCCTGGGAAGTGCCCAGTACCGGATCTACCCTGTCACTGGCTACAATGCTGAAAGAGGTCCTCTGTCACGGATGGCTTCCCACATTCAGGGTGTGTCTCAATCAAAACCTCCTTCCCACTTGGAAAGGACCAACCGGACATAAGCGGAGAACACCAAGTTCCAGGAGTCTGGGAAGTGGAGAGAGAGGTTCTCTTGATGGACAGTCACAGGCAAACCAGGGTCCATATTCCTGAGCAGTAGTGTCCAGGACAGAGGGAGGCCAGACACTTGTCCCTCTTCCTTCCCAGGTGACACAGAGGCTCTGGCCAAGGTCCCAGAGTCTTGGTTTTTGATTGGCCATTCACCACTGTGCGCTACCCCCTGGGTCCTCGGTGTTCGTGTCAGATTGTAGGCAAATCCCACTAGATGCTCTCTGTGAGCCATGGGTGCTGAGAGGTTCCCTGCAGAATCCACGGCTGGAAGCTGCTGCCCTCGACCCTGATGGAGGTCTGCAAGGCCCCAGCTCATCGGGGGTCTCAGAGGCCCCCGGGAACCCCCTCTTTCCCCAACTTGTTTGACCAAGGCAGCTCCCCCCCCGCCTCTCCTCCCCATTGCAAGCCCATGTGCGCTTTTTTTGGTTCGTGTGACCTCTTAATGCACTGTTCTCTAGAAGAGATTTGAGGAGGGGCAGACCTCCACGGTCCCTCCAGACTGAGAAGTCCTGAGTGTGGTTTGGGGTCCTCCCACCCCCTGAGCAAAGGCTCTGGGGGGAGGGTGGGAGAGGGTAATATCAGGGTTCCAGGGGCAGCGGGAGTCCTGTGTGCTGCTCCAGAGGACCTGGGAGGGCTCACCAGGTGAGTCCAAGGTCAGGGAGGAAAATCCCAAGGAGGAGAGCAAGTCCTCTGGGCTCAACAGAGAGAGGATTGCACCAAAACACCAGCCAGTGCCCGGCAGCTGCGGCTCAGTACCTGTAAATGGATCCTTTGCTTTTCCCCCCTGCAGTCGAGGAATGGAAGGAACCTTGAAGACAAGGCTCAGTCGGTGGACCCAGGTCAGCCTCCCTGCAGCTGTTATGATGGGTCAGGGGGTGGGGAGGCTGGGAGGGGCTGGCGAGGCCCCAGACACAACATTGTCCAAAGCCAGGACTCTGCCCCCTCCCTCTTGTCAGCATCATGGAGCCCCCAGACCCACCTGGCAGGAGCAGGCTCTTCAGCCACCGTCACAGCCTTCACTTCGTGCCTGGTGCTTGGTTCTCCAGGGGAACACCAAGGAGCCCCTGGAGGGGCCCAGGCTCCCTATGGCCGGGTCCTTTCTGAACAGCCAGGCAAGGCTGTTCCCTCTATTCACTGGGGTCCTGAGACCCAGAATTTAAATCTGGGCAGAGTCCTTGGCCTGCATCAGGGCCCCTCTAGGCCTCCCGTCTCCCCCAAGGATGTGGTGAACATGTGGGCCTTGTCCTGAGGCTGCCTCCCAGCCCTCCTGGGCTGCGGCCAGTCTCAGGACCGCAGCAGGCAGCCCCAGAGGCCTGAGGATGCTGTCCCTATGCTAGGAGACAGAATGACCCAGCAAAAGCAAGCAGAAGGTGTTCCCTGAGGCTGCAGAACTTCTACAGACATAACAGCCTAATTAGACACAGCAAAGCACATCTCACAAGTACCGATTATGGGGAAACCCATCCAAACATTTATGACACGTCCAGCGGATATGTAATTGTAAAATATGCTTTTAATAACTTGCCCATGGGTCTTGACTTGACTCCAAGAAGGATTTGACCCAAACTGTACATTTTCCTTTTGTTTTTTCAGGATTCAAAGGCAAAGGAAAAACTGGATCCAAGGAGGCCAGGCCGTGAATACTTCTTTCTGTGAACAATACATAAAGACGTTTCTGTTGCTCTGTGATCACTGGACTATTTAGTTGTGTAAAAATAAACTAACTCTAATAGCCATTTTCATTTCCTATTGGAAAGTTTTAGGGAGCTGCCAGAGTTAGTAAATGATGATTTTTTTTTTTTTTATAACTTACCAATTCTGATGTGGAGTTAGCATGCCCGGGCAGGCTCAGGATAGGCCGGCTGCCTTCAGATCCTGAGTCTGCTTTTCAGCGGGAAGACCTGGGTGTGATGCATTTCCAGTGTTGGGACAAGTGAGTCCATGTCACTTGTCTCTGTTACTTTGGTTGGGTGTCTGCACAGTGGATCATGGAGGCAGCATGTGGAAGAGGCCCCTTCACCTTGTGCTGGCCAGGAAGCACAGAGGGGAAGGGGCCAGGGCCCCAAGATGCCCTTCAAGGGCGTGTCCCCAGTGACCTAACTTCTCACGTGGCTCTACCTCCTAAAGTCCTACCACCTCCCCTGGTGTGGGACCAAGCCTTCAACAGGCAGATGTTTGGGAGCCACTTAAGATCCAAACTGTAGCACCTGAGTAGGTGATTTCCTGTCCCTGTGCCTCAGTTTCCTACATAGTAAAATGGGGTTGGTAAGAAGAACATGTTCTTCAGATAGTTTTTGTGAGGACTAAGGAGATGGTCCACGGAAAGGGCTTGGCCTGGTAGTTCACAGTGAGTGATCAGTAAGTCTTCTTTTGCTGGGTGCAGTGGTGTATGGTTGTGAACCCAGTGGCTTGAGAGGCTGAGGCAGGAGGATCGTGAGTTCAAAGCCAGCCTCAGCAAAAATGAGGTGCTAAGCAATTCAGTGAGACCCTGTCTCTAAAGAAAATACAAAATAGGCCTGAGGATGTGGCTCAGTGGTTGAGTGCCCCTGAGTTCAACGCCCAGTACCCCCCAAAAAAGTGTTGTTTTAATGACACAAAGTATATATATTGGTGTGTGTGTGTGGTAGGTACTGGGGATTGAACTCGGGGACCTGTGCATGCGAAGCAGGCACTCTACCAACCGAGCTATATGCCCAGCCTGAGAGCTGGTTCTTTATTACTGATAGCAGGTGGTTGAGGCATGTCACCTCCAGACTATTCAAGAAACCTTCAGGTCTTTATTTCTCGGGTTCTTCCTTTGTAACTATTCCCAAGATCCTTCTCAGGAGTAGACGATGACGCAGACGATGCACGCACAATGCAAAGAGGGGCCCTGACAACCATACCGCACACTCCCTTGAACTTCTCGCTGCTCCCAGGTTCTGCTTGAGCTGCAGCTAACTCAGCCTCCCATGTCCTTGCCAGGGCTAGCAGAGCACCTTTGTGTGACATGCTGCCAAGGCCAGTCTTCACGAACCATCCAAGGACTCGGAGGTTAACCAAGGACAGTAGTCGCTCCTCCCACCTGAGCCCCTGCATCCTCTTTGCTGAGCCAGTAATAATAAATCCCATCTCGAGGGACCAGTGCCACTGGCCAGAGGCCTTCCGAATGCCTGCCATGAGGGTGATGGCTAAGGGGGTGGGGGTGAGCAGAGAGGGCCACTGTTTCTAAGTGACACTGTTTGAGCTTAAAACTCTCCCTTTGCCAAATGTGTGTGTGAGGAGGAGGAGGAAGAGAGGCTTTGCCTCCTCCCCAGCCAGTGCTCAGCAAAGCCCTACCCATACCCCAAAATCCAGAGACGATTAGACCGTGGCTGACACCTTCCTCCTGCGGGACCTGGTCCTCCCTGTGTGAAGTGCTGGAATGCTTTTGGCTTGGTTTCCTATGAAAAGGAGCAACATGAGGTCACTCTATTTGAGTGTCCTTTCTAATAAGTTTGAGCCCAGGGCCTGGTGGCAGCTGCTGGATGGAAGGTGGCCATGTGCTCAGCACTGGCAGCCACATTACCTGGGGGGGGGGACAAACTTCAGCTCATGGCACAGGGCTACCGCAGCCCTCACAAGACCATGAGCCTCTGACTACATGAGCCTTATGAAAAGGGAGTCAAGAGCAGGCCCAGGACATGAGGGCTCACAGTGCAGACTTGGTACCAAAGCCGTCACCAGGGCTTTGGTGGTGCACGCCTGTCATCCCAGCCGCCATGAAAGGGACTCTGAGAACCTGAGAATGGGCAGAGGCCTCCGAGGAAAGTAGCCCAGAAAGACCAAGGGACTTGCCCATGCTGCTCAGACAGAGCCTGGGTCTTTTATTTAACAGCCTAAACAGCTGTCTTCATTCTGATGTTACTCAGAATGTTCCCCTGTAGGAGTTTTCTGGGACTGCCATCAGAAAGTCACAAAATTTGGGACTTCAAACAACACAGATTGAGTCTCTCACAGTCCCAGAGGCCAAGAGTTCAAGGTCAAGGTGCTGGCAGGCTGTGCTCCTCCTGGGTCTCTGTGTCTGCTCCCTTTTCTTCTCTTTGAAAGACACTTGTCATTGCATTTGGAGTCTGCCCTGATTTTAGATGTTGTCCCTCTTAAGTTCCTTAAATAAATGTCCTCAGCAAAGACCCTTTCCCCAAATAAGGTCCCATTCACAGGTTCTGGGTTTAGGACGCGGACACATCTTTTGGAGCCACAGCCCAAGCCATACCCTCAGGGTCATTGTGCTGTTAGTCCTTGGAGTTCTAAGTCCCTTTTTTTGGAGGTGTGGTACCAGGAACTGAACGCAGGGACACTGGATCCCTGAGCCACATCCTCAGCCCTATTTTGTATTTTGTTTAGAGACAGGGTCTCACGGAGTTGCTTAGCACCTCCCTGTTGTGGAGACTGGTTTTGAACTCACAGTCCCTCCTGTTTCAGCCTCTGGAGCTGCTGGGATGACAGGCGTGCTCCACCAAAGCCCTGGTGACTGATGGCTTTGGTACCAAGTCTGCATTGTGAGCCCTCATGTCCTGGGCCTGCTCTTGACTCCCTTTTCATAAGGCTCATTCAGGATCTCCTAGGTACAAACACTTATTCATTTATTTATTTATCTAACGTTTGAATGCCTGCCAGATGCCAGGTACATAAATCATTTCTTTATATTCTCTATTTTTTCTTTTTCTTTAGGGGGGTGCTGGGGACACCCCACATGGTAGGCAAATGCTCTACCCTGAGCTACACCTTGGGACCTATATTCTGTTTTTGGTGTTTTGCCATCTTGGGGTCTTGCTGACCTTTGCTGGCTGCTTCTCTCAGGGACAGAACATTCCTAGAGAAAGCAAATGATCTGGCCATCAATCTGCCTTTCATATGCAAACCACCATTCCAGAACCCTTCCCAGCTGTCTCTAGATGGGGCTCTTACACTCTCTAATGATATGCCCCACTCTAATCAGCCCTAGGCCAAGCGCAAGGGGAAAACAGTTCTATGCCCCAGAGTTCCTTGAAACTATTCAAACGAATTAATATGGGGCCTGATTCCCTGCTGACCTGTTCCCCTCCATGGAAACCACAGTAAAGGCTCTCAACCATGTTTTCTTCTTACTCCATATGTCTCCTGACTGACCTTGGTGCTTTTCCAAATGACCCTCATGGCATGGCGGTCCCCCTCCTCTAGGAAACTGTGAGTCTGACAAACTATATATTCAATGCAATTGTCCCCTGATCTGTTGGCCTTGCCATGTCTGCACTCCCCTGAAACTTGTATTTTAAACCAAGCCCTGGTTAGGATATGGTCCTGATCATAAGACATGGTCTGGGCTCCCCACCAGGCCAAACCCAAGTAACTTCTGGTGCACGAGTGAGTCTTTCTCCACAATTATCCTCAGAATCATGAACTCCTAGGGTGAGAAGAGACCTTGAAGGCTTTTGTAACTCCAGGGCCATGGCCAGTACAGCTGGGGTCCCCTTGCTGTTGGGGGACTACTTCAACATTTCTGGGGGTAGGGAGATGCTCCCTGCTTCATGGGGCATCCACTCTGTGCCAGAAAAACTGAAAAGCAATGAGACCTTTCCCAGGAACCAACTTGGCATCTAGGGATCACTTTTCTTATTTCTGTGTATTCAAAAATGTGCTGCTTAATAATTCATTCTAGAAATTACACGTAGTAGGGTATTCCTGGACCTTTGAGGAAATCAATGAAACGTGTCTTGATTTGGGGGCATGTTGTACCCTGTAGATAGATGGCTTGGAAGAGATGTTTTGACATATGGGCCTTGGCCACTCCTTGTCCCTAATGTCACATCCTGGAGACTGGCTTTCAACCAGCCTTGACACAACTTTTCAGACTCACCTCATTTGTGGGAAGTTCCCACCTTCTTCAATCTTCTAGTCTGAGGATCCCTTTTGAAAACACCTCAAATAGAGTGAATAGAATTCGGTTCATACAAATGTAGTGAACGCACTGCTTTTCAGCCACGGTGGCACAGTGAACCAGAGGGGGCACTTGGTTCCTAGACCTGCTCTCACAGGGTCGGCTGCAGATGTTTCTAGTTATTTGGATCCAGGTTCTCCTTACAGATTCTGCCCGAGGTAGGTTCAGGGGTTCCATGTTCTCACTGGGTGGGGAGAGTTTGGAGGAAGTCAGAAAGAGGATTTGTGTGGGCCAGGCCATTGCACATGCCTAGAATTCAGTCATAGGATCACAGCTGATGGCGGAGGAGGCTGGATATGGAAACTGCTGTGACCTGCATGGCCATTAATTCAGAAAAATCACACGAGGGGCCCTGGGGGATTAGAAAAGACAAACAGACACACAGAGAGACAAAGCAGGGGCCTGGTGGGCACCGCCCTCTGGTAGAGATAGAATGACCCTGAGCAGATCACTACTTTTATTACACAGGTTTTAACATCAAAGGGGTTTTCTGTGGGAAAGTTTCTTCAAAGCACACCGATCCAACGTCAAAGATCAATGGCCCAATTATAACCATCAGCTTACACCCCTAATTCTCTACTCAGGCAGCTGGTGTCTGAACTTAAAGTCAAGACCTGGTGGTCCCAAGGCAGGCACAGAACTTCCCTGTGAGCAGGGCTTTGCCACAGCGACTGGGTGGTCTCCACAGGGGTGTTTGCACCAGGAGTTCCCAGCAGAGGGGTGCTTCTGTCGCTGGGCAGTTCAAGGACCATGATTCAAACACTCCTCCCCAAAGGAAACTAGTTGTGTGG